TTTCAATCATCAATCCAAATGATTTAGGTCAAAAGCTGTTATCTTTAATTGGTTTGTTAAAGGTCTTATAATATAAGAGAGGATGAGTCCATTAGTGAATAAAAATCCAGCCGTAGTCTTAATCGGTTAAGTTGTTGACTGTTGCAATGCTGAATCACAAGTTTGATTCCATTGCTGAATAGGACCAAAGGAAAATTAAAAGAAAAGGGAATGGGAACAATTACCTTGGCTTGTTTGGTTGGACATCCCAAATTCGATTGACCAATCATACCAAAAAAATGAAAGAGAGCGAGACCGATATTAAAGAACTCATCATCACCATTATTATTATTCGCTCTTTATCCCAACCAGATAATAAAGAACTGATAATAAAGAACTAAAAATAGAAATGTCAAATACTATTATCTAAGGATATAGGAGGTACTACTGGATATTATCCATATGTAACATGTAGATGAAAAAATCCGGAAGCAAACGCAGAGATAGGTAAAATACATATCTTTTTAGCATGATGTTTCCAAATTAAAAGGATGAGATAGAGAAGTGTAAGAGAATACCATGATCTAATGTCCTAAACCTTGGAGTCAGGTTGGCACTTGGTGGCATCCCCAACCCAAGATATATAGTTCACTCTCGGAGTCTAAGATCGGACTAGCCCTTGGGAAAGGTTGGTATACTTCCTCTACAACAAAAAAAATTTATGCTTCTCGTACCATCCAAATTTATGCTTCTCGTACCATCCAGCAGTCCAATTTTATCAAGTGAACTACTCACCGTTTGATTTTAGATCCGATGTCTCAGAGTATTTTATTTTAAATTTTTTTAATAAAAATTATATGAATATGAAATTTGGTGCCTGCTATCTTCTCATTGTGGTGCACCTACAAAAAAAATATTAAAAATAATTTTTTGATAAAATATAATAACCAAAATACTCCTTGAAACTTTCAAAGGTATTTTGGTCATTCTATTTTATAAGGAATGTTTTTTAATATTTTTTACAAATACGAATTTAATAAAGGATTGGACACCCAAAATTTGATGTTAAAATATTTTATACAAAAAAATTTAAAATAAAATTGTATAGAGAGGTGACATTGTGATTGGGACAATTTTAGCCTTACATTCAGAATGGATCCATTGGATAAAAGAAAATATATAAGTTTTATATTGTAAGAAAAGAAGCATAGAAAGCTTACCATAGCAAAATAGTGGGAATTGGCAAGATTCAACAAATTCAAAGGCTCTGACTCAATACCCTATCTAGACCGTGTGAGTCTGTTGTATCCCATTTACTTGGACAAGTTGTTAGAACACTAGTCATGAAAAACAAAGACACTTACTTGGACAAGTTGTTAAAACACTAGTCATGAAAAACAAAGACATGGACCACAAAAAGTAGCCCAAAAGCAAGAACAAGCTGGGCCTAGGCCAAGGCCACAATAGAGCTGTAGGAAAAGGTCTAGAGCCAAGTCAAGAGACTTTAGAAGTAGTGTTCAAAAAAATCGAATTGGCCAAGAGCCATGTCCGAGTAACCGGTAAACCAGCCGGTTTAACCGGTCTAACCAGACAAGTTGTTAAATAAATAAAAAAAAAAGTATATTTAAGCACATCCACATAAATTTGAAAAGTAGTAAAAATAGTGAATTTAAAAAATTGATTTGTATTCAAGGGTATTTTTGAAATTTTAAAAAAGATGAAAAAATATAAAATGAGATATTATAGCCGAAAAACTTTAAGGTCTTTGCGAAAATGATAAAAAGTTTTCGAAGACACATTATAAACAAGTCATTTATTTATTATAATATTTTATATAGTTTTTTTAAAATTCTCAGCCAGATTAGCAGAACCAATCCCATGCTCGATTCCAGTTTGACTGAGCAGTTGGGAGTTTTGACCAGCCGAATTTTGGTGATATGGGTCAGAGCAGGGCTGGACAGGCGTATTGCCAGCTTTACACGACCATTATCTAATCGAGGGGAGATGAATTGTTTTAACGAAGTTTGGAAGCTGTCTCACTCAATCAATTCCAAAGAGACAAAAAGCAGTGGGAGCAAAAATTGACAAACTTACGACGGCCCCACCCGTTGCAAACGTAAAAACGGCACGTAAAAAAACAAAATTACCAAACCGCCCACCCATAAAGCAAAAGCATAAGCATGGGGCTTCGTACTTTTTACTAACCCAATGCACATTCGTTCTCAAACAACATGTGTGTAAGAGTGTGGGCCTTTCCACTTCTCACCAACCCAAGATACACGAGAAGAATAGAGGGCAAGTCGCCCATTTGGGCCCTTCCACTTCTCACTAACCCAACATAAAGAAGAATATTGGGCAAGTTGCCCACTTGAACAATATCTCAATTTGGGCTCTAACATGATAAACCTAATATTTTCTACCGGTGATTTAAAACACGGATTAGCGACTCGGATTGGGCATCACAAAAACAGGTCCGTGTCGATGAATCAGCGGTTCAAATCACTGTTTTATTGTACAAAAAAATAATGAACTAGAGAAAGAATACTTGCAAAACTAGTGAATCAGCCAAAACTTGGTCCGCATCGATGAATCAGCATTTCTACTGTACCAAAACGGCTTTTTTACTGTAGTAAAACACTATTTTACAGTAGCAAATTAACAGTTCTCTTTTAAACCCGGATAATTTCCCATATATTGACTGAATCCGCACGGGGTGACTGATTCTCGAATCGGATTGAATGATTTTGTTGCAACCGGCGTTTTTTAAATCACTATTTTCTGCATTTCTCTCTTGGATGGACAACCACGACAAAGATTTCATGCCTAAATGCAATTTAGGATTGGTCCTTTCTCCTAATGCAGATTTCTCTAACAGGACCTAGATCCATTTTTTAAAAGAAAAGTATTTGGTGAGTCGACCTATGCACCTGCTTGGGTGTTTTGAAGGACTTCGAACGTGCACTATATCTCACATCACTATAAATCTATTTCCTTGTTAGATCCATGAATTTGGAGCTTCAAAAATGGTGTTGACTTGATGGTATTTAAAGATTTAAAAAGAAATACAAATTGTCCTTACACTGAATTCTCTTAGAGATCCATGATAGATGACAATTCTACAAAATTTTAGATCCAAAATCCATCTAAGGACGGTATACTACTCAGACGGCACACACCTTTACTTATTTCAAATTGTTTTTAGTTAATGTATATTAAAATTGGAAAACGTTTACTGGAGGTTTAAACCTTACACTGTAGAATTGTGGTGCACCTAAAAAACTAATGAAAAAGGCTATTTTAATGTTGGAAAACCATCTTATTGAACATCTGGACATTGAGACGTATGATTAGGAAAAAAATAAAAGGATTAAAGTCCCAATAATATTATATTTTATAACATTCTCTGGACCGTCCATTTTCAAGATTTTATGTGATTATAGATTTTACTTGATTTGAACCATATTTAGAATTTCAAATTTTATAAATAAAGATGAAAATATATTATTGGGCCATCCTAAGAAATTTTGACACCAAAATTGTAATTTATGACAAATTTTGGAGGCGGCACACCGTCCTTTGATTGTGTAGGTTGCGACCTTATGCAAACCACACCCAGATAGATGTGCGCAATTCTCGGAAGAGAGAGAGAAGATAGATGTGTGCAATTCTAGGAAGAGAGAGAGAGAGAGAGAGGTGCTGAGGAGTTCAGGGAAATGTCACATGAACTAGTGATACATGGAATATGGTACATAACAAAGAAATCCACCGACCATTATTGATGATGGAGATTAACCACGTACCGAGTGACATTAACATTCAGCTAATCTACACCATCCATCATTCAAGTTGAATGGTAGTTGTCCCCTATGTGTAGCACAAACTGGTGCGTTACGCGGTTACTTCTTCGGAGTCTACATTTTTAGACCAAGTCAAGTGATTTTCTATATTTTGGATACATAGAAGAATATAAAAAGAGGCACACGCCGAATTGTTGACAGATTGTCCCATTTCCGTGTTCATACTCCTTTTGCTCATAATTCATGGTATGAAGTTTGAAATTTGATAAACTTTCATGACGAATTGCCTTTCTAACTCTCTCAATGGCATGGAGTTTGAACTTTGATCAGCATTCAAATGATGAATGATCTCTCTCTCTCTCCTCCCGGGCTCTATATAAAGCACACTCTAGGTCCTTTCTTTCCAAGTATTACATCTTTCTTCCATTTCCTCAGAGAAGAAATGGCTTTCTCTCTCTTTGGCTTGGCCATGACCTTCCTCTCTCTCTTAGCAGCTTCTTCTGCTCAACTCTCTGCAAACTTTTACTCTTCTTCATGTCCCAAAGCACTCTCCACTATTCAAACCGCAGTGCAAGCTGCCGTGAAGAAGGAAGCTCGCATGGGGGCCTCCTTACTTCGTCTGCATTTCCATGACTGCTTTGTCAATGCAAGTCTCACTTATCCCTTCTTCTCACCTAACACCCAATAATACTACATGAGTAAAAGCATTTTCTTTCACTTAGGTCTCTTTTACTGCAAATTGTTGCTCAAGTCTCATTCTTGCATGTATGCATTCATTCGAGTTCTTCCTAGGAAGGAAGTTGATGAAAATATTCTTTTTTTTTTTTTTTTTTTTTTTTTGGGTATTTCAATGGGATGACAGGCCCGACATATTTTTTAAAATAGATAATGGTTTTTTAAGCTATTAGTAGGAATGAAAGCCATAATGTATAATGAAAGCCATAATGTATATTTGTATAACTGAAGTGTAGTATGGGGTATGCTACCACCATCACCTTAGCCCATTTCCTAGTAAGGATAAAATTAAATGGGATGATTGTGTTTAGTATTACTTTTTCAACAAATATGGCCTAGAAACAATTAATAAAATATATGCTTTCCTATAGGCAACTTATGGGAATAAGACATTTTCAGTTGTTTAAAGGTTCTGTTGACTGGGTACTTTGGTCATTTTGGTTTAAAAAGATAAAAGGAATCATGTAGCCTATTTAGTACTAGTTGGGACCTCTGTGCCCACGCTATAAAATTTGTGCCCCATTATTTATATGCTACTTGATGCATGGGGAGATAATAAATAAACAAAAACTAAAGTTTCTCCCAAGAAAGCGTGTGTTTATGCATGTGTATCTGCTTTTCTATTATATACAAGGGGAATAGCCTTTGCAATTCTGCCCCCACATCCCCATATAAAGAAAATCATGGCATGGAATGCATGGTCATCCCATGTATGAATCAGTTATATTTTATACGGTCATGGCAGCATGATATTGTAAGGAAGGATGTATATGTGTGCGTCTATGTATGTAGTTGTGTTTCTACGTTTATATGTTTGCATGCATGTTGTATATATGCATGTTACAAGCTAATAGATATGTATATATGTATGTCTATGTGTGGATGTAAATACAATCTTCTGATGATACCCTAGATTGTGGTGTATAGGGTTGTGATGGGTCTATATTATTGGATGACAACTCCACCTTCACCGGAGAGAAAACTGCGGGGCCAAATGCAAACTCAGTGAGAGGTTACGATGTGGTCGACAACATCAAATCCAATGTAGAAGCTGCATGCCCCGGTGTGGTCTCCTGTGCAGACATCCTAGCCGTCTCAGCACGTGACTCGGTTGTCGCTGTAAGCCATCTCTCACGTGTATATTTATTTATTTAGGGTATACTTAGGGAGGAGTCTTTTTTGGTATTTAAAAAAAAAAAAACCCTCATTTTTGCCATGGGATTGTTTATAAAGAGACTATTTATCTTTTGTACATGAAAGTCACAATCATTCTTGTACCTTAAATTTCAAAATAAGTGATTGAGAAAGCGTCATTGAATAGACACAAAGTTCCATTTCAAAATAAGTGATTGAGAAAGCGTCATTGAATAGACACAAAGTTCCAAAAAAAAAAATTCTCTGTTTGTGATTCACCCCAAGACAACCATTATGACATCTAACGAGTATGAATGATTGTGATCTCCATATACAAAAAATAAATAGTTTATTTATAAACAATCCCTTTTTCTATTGATTGTCCAACCAAGCACTTAAAGATCATTGTTATTTTCTTTTTTTACAATATGATTGTATAGCTTTTTTTTTAATTTCTTTATCTAGGAGGAGAGGTCTGAGTCTAGGATTACTTTAATCTCCATAGGTTTGGGGGATTTGAGCGTAAAATGGTTAATGGTGTTCGTTTTAATTCAGCTTGGTGGACCAACATGGACGGTGCTATTAGGGAGAAGAGATTCAACAACTGCTAGTCTAAGTACTGCAAACTCCGATATCCCTGCACCTTCCTTAAGTCTGAGTGGTCTCATCACAAGCTTCTCGAATAAAGGGCTCAGTAGCAGCGAAATGGTAGCTCTTTCAGGTTTGAAATGGTGGCTCTTTCATGTTTAAATGGTGAATAGTTAAAAATGGATAGTCCAAATAATATGTTGCAAAATACACTATCTTTAAGGTCATCTGTTTAAGATAAAGGTCTAAGTGACCAACTTGAGGGTTTCTTGGCACAAAAACTACACCTTTTGGTGGGATTTCGGAGCAACTTTAGTTTTGATATTAAAGCCTAAGCCTTGGATTACTATTTCCTTTATGTACTATGCGTCTGCACATGTCCTAAGTACGTAGTTGGAAATAAGAATAGATAAAAATATAAATTGCATACACACATGAATATAATGTATTTATTACACATACATGCATATATATATATATATATATATATATATATATATGGCTGTGGTTTGTATAAGGTCACGTCCTTAAGCAATCAAAGACGTGCCTTGAAACGGTGTCCAAAGAAGTTTCAATGTCGAAAATTCTTGTGACAGCCCAGAAATTTGTTTTCATACTTAATTACAAAATTTAGAGTTATGAAAATAATGTAGATTGAGCAGATCATAATCTTTAAAATGGACGGTCCAAATAACGCATTACAAAATGCACTATTTCTATGACACTAAATCTTTTTTTTTTTTTCACATCCATACGGGGTAAAGGTGACCAATTAAAAGGTTTTTAACTATCCGAACAACCTTTTTGGTTGAGTTTTTGAGGTGTGTCTTACTTGTGCAATATATAAGTTGTAATAAACGTTTTCCATACATACATGCATATATTATTTATGTATGTCTCCATGCATGTAACTTGGTCCATAAAATGAAAATTTCAAGGTCCCTAAAATGTAAATTTCAAGGTCCCTAGTCATCATGGTCAAGCCTTCTTACTATGCATATCATTTGCAGGATCACACACAATTGGCCAAGCTCGGTGCACCACTTTTAGGACTCACATCTACAACGAGACTAACATAGACTCAACCTATGCTACCTCATTGAAATCAAATTGCCCCTTCAGTGGAGGTGACAATAACCTCTCTCCACTTGATGTAACATCTCCAACTGTCTTTGACAATGCCTACTACAAGAACTTGGTGAACAAAAAGGGGCTCCTCCACTCTGATCAAGAACTCTTCAATGGAGGCTCCACTGACTCTCAAGTCACTGGCTACACTTCCTCTTCTTCAACTTTCCCCACAGATTTTGCCAAGGCAATGGTGAAAATGGGAAACATTAGTCCTCTAACTGGCTCTAGTGGGCAAGTCAGGACGAACTGTAGGAAGGTCAACTAGGGTTTGGAACTTCAAAGTTGAGGAAGGATGAGTTGGGTTTGTTTTTCTTTTGGTGTTGAATGATTGGAATAAGACACAATTGAGGCAAGATAAAAGTACTTGTACTCAAGTTTTATTTATGAAAAAAGGACCATTTGAAGTTTATTCAATAGCTGGTCCAGGTATCATGATAGGTGGTTTGGCTTTGTCTGGGTATTTTCCCCTAGTGTAATGGTTTTGGGTTCCTTTCAAAACCCATTTTTGCATTCCCTAATGAGAAAAAACAGACAATGTGGGAGGAAATCGATTTTGACGATCTTTCATCCCTTTTTCTATTTTTGTTTTTATTTTTTCTTGGTTTCGAGTGATTGGGATCGATCATGTCAAGGGAAGATGTAATATTCAATAAAATAAGTTATTATATTCTATTAGGAAAGTCCCACTAACGATTAAGGTTGATTGTGACGTTTTCGTGTTAAAACAATGAAGTAGGAATAGCCAAAAATAGACCTGCTACTTTTCTATTAAGTTTAGTATACATTTTTTTTTTCCAAAAAAAATCAACTGTTATTCATGAATCAATCTAATTTTTTATGGATTTAGAATGCAAAACACATCTTAATCACTGGATGGCAATGCATGCAGGACCTGATCTCCTCAACCAATCCAATTGATGAACTACTCTAAACAGCGATACGGGTCATTTGCACCGGTCATTATGGGTTACGGATGTCGTAGATGATGTCCTACATAATTTTTACAGGATGTGGTGTATATATAATAATTACCTTTTAATTGGAGATTAAAATCAATTAATGTGTGTGCGATCCATGATACGATGGATATCATGGTACATGACAAAGGCCTTTAAATAATGGACCCAATTTCTATGCAGCTAACCCTGCATAGGTAGAAAAGCGGCCTCTTAACAAATCTATTTTTGAGATGGATTTTAAGACTTAATTTTTAAGGACTTGTAATATCTAACATAGAGATCATGAATATGAAAAAGTAATAAATTTTAAAAATTAGAAATAATAATTCTCGTAATAAAACATTTGAACTGTTAGTTTCCATTGTTTTTAGATGGAATACCTACTTGCATTTATCTTTAAGATGGATGCTTTATACTTTTTGGATCGCATATGTAGAAATACGGTCCAGCCGGCATGAAACAATTTTCCTTAAATAATTCATTAGACATTTACTTGGAAGAAGAAGTGTTTGTATTCTATTCCAGTCGTTGGATGTGATTGGTACAATGTGACCAAATTCATTTGAAAATTAAATACTAATTAAAAGAATTATGTTATGGCTGGCATGGCACCCAAGAAGCCTAACCGAGCGAAGTTGGGCCAAGTCGGGCTGAGCCTGGACCTTGGACCAAACTTAGTTCTCCGCCAGGCTGCCAAACCTACTGCCAGCCTTATATATTGGCCGCAAACATTGACACTAACATTGCTTATGGAAGATGTTAATGTAAAAAACTCTTGACAAATGACAGATTTGGCAAATGAAGTACTTCTATTTTTTCTCTCTATTTCTGTTGGGCAAATAAAATTTGGGAAATTATAAATATCTCCTAAGCCCCACTTTTGAAGCATGGCCTCATTTAATGTTTTTTAAACCACACCATTAACCCAACATTGTTTATTATTGCACCCATCTTTTTCAATAAAAAAATTTATTTTTTTAGACCAATACACCCACCATTTTAACTCATGTTTCTCTCAAAAAATGTGATGCAAAATGTGCGGGTTCAGTACATTAATGTGTCGGATTGGCTTTTGATCTTCAAAATGTGCCATCACAAAAATGTAAAGGACCGACAAAATGTGCCAAACCCATATGAGATGCTAAAATTGTGCTAGTTCAGGGGGTATCTATGCTGTCACTAAATTAGATGGGAATTTGTTGTGAACAAAACTGCTTTCTTGCTAATTTTGCTGTAACTTCCAATGAACCACTAGATCTTAGCCACTGCGGATTTTGGGGATACATTGCTCTGACCATGGTTGTAATAGAATACTTGCATAAAAGCTTAGCTTATTAAATACTAGAAGCAAAGCAATCAGCGCATACCAAATCAAGATTTTTTGGTCGAAGTAAGCGAACTAAGTGCCGCTAATTAATCGTGTGGCATGGGATTAGAGGAAATTATGAGTATTGCAGTTGAACTATGTACAAGAGTGGGAAAGGGGCTGGGGTCGTGGTGACACCACCGGCATACTCTAACCATTATATTTTAGTTTTTTCCCCTATTGATACTATTTTACAAACAGTTTCAAAAAAAACTTAGCAGTTTCAAAAAAAACTAACTTTTAAATTATTTGAAACGAAAAAAAAAGGTAGGACCTCTCTTCCCCCACTGAATTACCCAGGAAAAAAATCAATGTCCAAAAACGATAGAAAGGTAATATTTTATACGTCTTTCAAAGCAACTGTGATTGTTTTGTAATTTTCCTGGGCCTTTTTCTTTAAAAAAGTTGTGGTCATTTTGAGATTTTCCGAGGGTATTTTTTTGAGTAACAAAATGATTTCTTTACTTAATTTTGTGGAAGGCACTTTTATAACAAAAAAAAATTACGCTCTTTCTTATTTTGGATGGGGCATTTTACACTATCCCACCTTTTTCATGGGCTAGGGGAATGCTAGGTGCAGCCCACCTCATGGTCAGCCAATGCTTGGCTATGAGTGGCAGCAGGCCAGGCTGGGGCCGGGCCATCACTGGCTTGACCAGCTCCTTTAAGGCCGTTACTGGCTTAGGTGAGCCAAAACGTTTTCCAACTTATATCACACATTGAAAATTTTTTCCCTATATGTGTGCAAGGTCTGGCCAGGCCCGGTTTTTTCATGTCAAGCTCATCTCAGGCATTGTTATCACAAAATCGGGCCAGCCTGAAACTAAATGTTTTGGCCCAGCCTAAGCCCGAGCCTACCTTGCACACTTTTGGGCCAAGCTTGGGCCCATGTTGGCCTTGGGCGGTTGACAACCCTAATAGGTTGCATTAGGGTCTATAAGAACTCCGAATTGTACAAAAAGTCCAACTATATTTATATGGAAAATTGTTTGATAGGGCTGTAGAAATATATGCTCCACCTTATAATTTATCAAAAATTCAAATTCAAATATTGGTAAACATCTACATCGATTATTTTGGCTTAAAAATATTTGTTGTGCAAAAAAAAAAAAGGGATTTTAAGTTTTAAAAATCATGTATATTATATCAAATTATCTAAACCATCCATTTCACCCTAAATTAAGTGTTTATAGATCTGCAAGATCTATAGCATTTTTTGAGTTTCAAATTTTATTATCGGTGTTGGAATTTGATTTAGATTCATCATGGACATTTCCACTGCCAAAAGTGCGTTCTAGGCGAGAATTTTGTTTTCATATAGCTTAGGCCTATGGAAACTTCATCTTATTTATATTATGTAGTTTCTATATGGTTGCAACCTTAAACAATCCAATTGAGGTGCATCTCCAAATTTTATCATAACATGTAATTTTAGTGTAAAAAATTCTTAGGATTATTTAAAAATCTATTTTAATATCTAATTATAAAAATTTTAAAATCCAAAAGTGGTTAAAATCAAGTAGATCTATAAACATCCACAAATCTTGAAAATGGACGGTCTAGATAATGTGTTGCAAGAGCCACTATTTCAAGGACTCAAAATCTTTTTGCTTTTTTTTTTTTTTTCATTTTCATACATTTCGATTTCAAGATAATCAATTAGAGGGTTTTTACACATTGAAATAACCTTTTTGTGGTGGATTTTTTAGGTGCATCTGCAATTCTACATTCTAAGATGGCAACCTTATATAAACTTTTTCCTTACGTTACTGTGAGTTAATTTTATGGAGAATTGATTAAAAAAAAAACAAATTTTAAATATTCTCGAGATGCGAATACATTTACCTATCATGTGAAAGTGTTCGCCATCTCTAGCAGGAGCATCTGTTATGCTTTTTTTGCGATTCAAGTTCCAATCGAAGAGGTCATAGAAATCAAAAAAGTTTGGTACTATTATGTTTCTGGGTGTCCAAACTAGATAATCATTAAATCACTTTGGTTCTATGCTTCACTAGTCTTGTTATATACTAGAGGTATCCGTGTCAACGCCCATTTGCGCTTTAGAAATGTGAGAAGCAGGATTTAAATATTTTGAGAAACAAATAGACCTTCCCTTGTTTCCAAGTTGAGCACAACTTATATTTGGTTGTGTTTGTCCAAGTTTGAAGGTTATCTCTAATAGAAACAAGTACAAGATAGAAAAGTGTAAAATGCTATTTCCTTTTGAGAAGATAATATAATAAGATATGAAAGTTTATATTGCATGCAATAAAGAGTAATGACACTATGAGATCTTTCCAGACCCATGTGAGTAGGACTTTAAAGGATCACCATGAAATTTTAACACAGATCTCTAGAAAAGTTATGACATGAGTATGGGATTTGGGTGAATGGGTTTATTGATAACTTTTCTAGAGATCTGTGTTAAATTTTAATGGTAATCTTTTGGGGTTCTACTCCCATGGGTGTGGGAGGGTCTCATAGTATCATTACTCTGTAATAAATAGGAAAGGGGATATTTCATCATTATATTACAATTATATATATAATGAAAGCACCACCACAAGTTTTGTAGGACACAATTATCTTTTATCAAAAAGTTTCTCTCTCTAAAATTCTTCATGGTATCAGAGCATCGTCAATCCTCTTAATCCTTCAGCTTGAAATAATTTCTCGATCCAAAGCAGGCGGCAACCTCGTCTTGAGTCACGGTACCTCAATCTTTTTCCCTACCTCTTCTTAATTGTTTACAAATGTCAACATACAATTGTCACTTTCCTCTCCACATATTTAAGTGAAGCATTTCATCTTTTACTTAAAATTTTATGGTCTGTATGTAAATCACGCTTAATCTGAGGTGGCTCGAATGGTTCATATTAAAGAATGTAAGAAACCGCACTTGGATGGGGTTTGTGTTATTTGATTTTTCTATTTTAGATTTTTTTTGGGTAATTAAAAGTGGTAAGTCAGTGGAGATTTGAACCCCAACCTTTTGGTGAGAATGGTGTCAGAGATCTCACCAAGGGGCTCGACAATACTGCCACCAAGGCACCAAGCCATTCCGGATTTTGCTATTTTAAGTTAGAGTTAGTTTTAGCATATTTGGGGCGAACACATGCACACAACTTTGCAGCTATTTTATAAATAACTAAAATGTGCCTTGCCAAAATTAATTTTATCATTTTGCTCAAGATTGAAAGAAAGAGGGGAATTTTACGAAGGAATTTTTTTTTTTTTTTTGGCAAAAGATCACTTACAGGTGGTCTTTATTATAATAAGATAAATTTCAAAATAAAATCAACACAACAATAAAACCAAGATCTTAACAACATGATGCCATTGAAACAACTATGCACTATGTTTGAGAATAAACGATAAGATTGTAAGAAACAAAAAGAAGAGTGCCAGAAGTTACCTCATCCGGGTTTACTACACCTCACAGCGAGTCACCACCATCCAATAGCGCGGGATCAACGGTTTAGCTTCAATCTCGATATGGGAAAGCAAATTTCGGCCAAGCCACACCAATGGAACATGAACCCTTTTGATCACAAACTCAAACCCTAGATGAATTATCTTAGCAACCGAGTTTGAGAGAGATGGATTCTCTTTTTTTTGCTAAACCCTAAAACCCTTAGCCGTAAATCCATATTTGAGAGATTGGAGAGAAGAACTCCATAACCTAAACCCTTAAGTTCTTTCACAATGTGAGATAGAGATATCAAAGATGAGAGAGTGGTACATGCCCCCTTTGTGGGATATGAGAGAGAAATATAGAAATTGAGTACAGGAGATAAGGTGTAGAGATTTTTTGGGTAGAGACAATCCATTTTTATAGGCTTTCAATAAGATTAGGGTTTCTTAGGTATTTTTTTTGCCTCTTCTTGTGAGATTGTACATAGACCGTCGATCAAGGATGATTTGTGGGGTGAGAGATATGAGCCATTCATTTCATAGATGGGTCATCAATATTATGAAAGGTCCATGAACCATTATCCCCTTTTCCTAAACTATTTTTCCATCAATACATTTAAATAAAATAAATATCATGTATTCTATAAAATTGCAGGACCCATGTCACATATTCTATAAGGATATGTCAAATAATATCAAGTAAATAAATATTATAAAATATAAAAAATATAAGATCCATATCAATACAAATTGACCATATCTCTTTAAAACAAACTTGCTATAAAATAGATAAAGCCATGGTCAATATATCCCTTCCAAGATTTGACCACATGCCACAATCAAACTAACCGTATCTTAAAAGCAAACAAGAGAATCCAAAGAGGGCATGCCACCCTTTTGTGGCGCACGTAGGGCCCCACCCACATCCCAAATGGGGGGCCATGTACACTATGGGCCCCCATGGAATAAAAAAAATATTATTTTTTAAATTGAATAAAACAATTTAAAATAAAATATATATTTTAATTTTAATAACTTTGTAAGAACAATAACTGTATTTTTATAAGTTAAAAAATCACAAATAAAATAGTGAGAGATTCATAAAAAATCAAATAATAAAACGAAAATCATTTTAATAATAAAATAAACACAATTAAATTAATATGATGGGAAAATGGTCCATATAGTTTAGGAATCAACAATCATAGGGCACTCCACCTTCAACTGTGGACTACAGACCATACTTGCTTTATAAGACTGACTCAATTTTTCCCATGACCCACAGTCCAAGCAGGCGCTCATTAGCGGGTCACCAAAGTCCAGTCGATAAGCCAATAGATCGCAATCCCAATCTGTGGATTTCAAGTCATCTCCTAGAGACAAATCAAGGTCACCAAGACCTTATGCGACCACAACTCTATGGCACATAGGGGTATCTCTCACACATGCATAGGCTTCACCCTAAAAGGTGGATTTCTGGCTTTCTCGAACGATCTATCGATATGCATACCGTGTGATGGCACATGGATGAGGCTTTGGCCCCCGTCTCTGTAGGTCACCATCACACACAAGGGTCACACAGTTCCTCGACTCACTCATACGGGCATATTCTCTGACCTCATCAAGGGCTAACCCATTAGAACCCTTCTCAATTTGTTCTTTATACCCAAGTGACATGGGTTTCTCCCAACCGACTGACCTAGATCGTCAAGCATAGTCCGATATCTGCAAATATCGTTTGCTTAGTATGGTCTATGAGGGACCGCACTCCCATTGAGTTCATGTTCTGCTATATCATTTCATTTTACAAACACTCATAAGGCCCTTGAAAGCCACATAAACCCAACAAAGGCCCTCACTCCGTCTTCCTCAGTGTCCGGATCGGTGGGATAGACGTCCTAACGTCAAGATGAGTTTGTCTCCTCAAAATTTTGTTGTAATTCCTATCACCAGGGTAAATTTGAGTCTATCATTCTTGTGGATGTAGCTCTTTATTTAATGGTGAACCATGTGGATTTTTGTCGTCTTATTGTGTGTTTTTATAATGTTTTTCCCCATGCCGTTATTATATTTCGTATATACTTAGTTTTGTTTTAGCATATTAAGTACATAATCCTAATGTGATTTCGATATTCGAGATTCTTGCTTCCGAATCTCGGAGTTCTTGAAACGAAACATATGAGCATAGGTTGGGTAATTAAACTTCTGGTTAAGGGAGGAGCTTTAGGTTAATATTTAGGAAATCTAGCAAAAAAATTCTAAAAGACAAGAACGAGTTTGCAGGGTTTTGAAAGTCTAAGTCGGGGCTGGGCGTGCCGGGTTTCGATTTCTCATATAAGCGGTCAGGCCATGGCTGGTACGGGCCAAGACTGTCTGGTTTGGGGCTTCTTTTAGGTAGGGTCAGGCTAGAGCCGGTGCAGGCCAGGACTGGCTGGTTTGGAGCTCCTTATAGGGTCGGTCAAACTGGGCTGGTAGTGAAGCCGGCCCGTAGCCTTCATCCAATAAATAATCAATCATAACCGGTGAGCAAGTAGAATTCCCAATCCAAACCACCCAAAAGGAGAGCAATTGGTTGGAACTCGAAGTAGCTTTGACATGATCGCGTCAAGCCGCCAAGATATTGTTAACTAATGAACCCTTTGACACTCTTACAATACCTAAATATTTAAATATGAACATTTAGTTGAATGGCATCTAATTTTCGTTATGTCCCTTGCCTAAAATATGCGAAATATATGCATGCAGGCCCCTTATATCATGGGACGATAATTAAGAAACTAAACTACAAGAACTTGCCCGGGAAGCAGACCTCTTGACCTTGTAACGCTAGAGAAAGAGAGAGGAAGTCAATCATCTTGTGAGAGCAATAAAGGACCAAAAGAATGGCTTTTCATGATATACTTTCTTCAGAAAATATTTTCTAGAGATTATTTTGGTACAACCCATATAGGAATCCCAAACCAAATGGATTTGGATGTTTAAAGTGGCTCAAATTACTGAAATACCTTTTTTCCAGATTCTCAACTGTCGATTATTAAATTTAGTTTTTGAAGAGACACCTGATTGAAATGAACATAAAAAAATAAACTCTCTAATACTGGTTGAGATATTTTGACTCCTTGAGGTGTTCTTAGAGAGTTTTAGCCCCTTAAACGATATTTTCTCTAGAGGGGAAATTTTGTATAGTGGAGTAATTCCGTGCTAAGTGCATAATAGCAATTAAAAATCGAACCTAGGCACAACCATCTAGTCCCAAAAACAATTGAGCAGACTAGATGGATAGTATACTCCCATAGAAATTGTAAATCTTTTTGGCAAAATTATTAATTGTAAATAGCAATCAATATTTATTGCATATGTTTCTTGCAATGTGTGCCGATTGACTTAGCATCCAAAGACCCATTAAACTCAACAAAATATAAGTTTAGAACTTAAATAAATACCTTGAGGACCAATATCCTCCCTAAGAAAAGGTCGAATGTCAATACACAATTACTTGCACCGATGGCAAACGCGTGAAACTCAAATTTCATTGACGTTTTCTTATAAAATGTGACGTCCTTCAAGAAAACATTTTAGAGCAAGTCTGCTCAACTCTCTCTCTCTATAAATACCCAACTCTCTCTGCATCAACTCAAGCATTGGCTTTGCATCTTGCCCTCAATTTCTCTCTCTATATTCAAGCTCTCCTCTCTCTCTCTCTCTCTGCATTACCAACATTCTTTATATTTAAGCATCCTTCTCTCTCACTATAATCAAAGCTACTTCTCTCTCTCTATACAAGTGTTGCATTATTAAGATTCAAGAATTCCTCTCGCTCTCTACACCAGTGTTCATTACTGTCTTTCCTTGGTTGTAGACATGGCTTCGCCTCACTCTCTCTGTACTATCTTCCTTTTGACACTAGCATTTATTGCTTGTGCTTCGGGCCAGCTCTCCCCTGGTTTCTACAATGGAGTGTGTCCTCAGGCCCTGCCAACGATTCAGAGAATCGTTCGGGACGCTGTGCGGAATGAGGCGCGAATGGGTGCATCGCTGCTCCGACTCCACTTCCACGATTGCTTTGTAAATGTGAGACTCATGAGCGTCTAACCAGTCACCTAGAGCTTCAAGTTGGGCTCATCTATGTGTGTACATGTGCGTGTAACGCGACTCATATATTCTTTGATTCTGAATTTGCAGGGTTGCGACGGGTCAATCCTTCTTGACGATACTTCGACCTTCACTGGAGAGAAGACTTCAAGGGCCAATGCAAACTCAGCTAGAGGCTTTGAGGTGATCGATTCGATCAAAACCGCAGTCGACCAAGCCTGCGGGGGGAGCGTGGTGTCGTGTGCCGACATCCTTGCTGTGGCAGCTCGTGACTCTGTGTATGCGGTGAGTGGCTCATGGACGAACATTGCTCTAAGCACTCTTATCTTTGCTCGAGCCATCACTCTAAAAATTAGCCTAGATAGCTATACACAAATCATGGGTTCTTCCCACCCTAGCTTATTAGATTAAAAAAA